ATGGTAGAACCACAACTTGGGGAAAATAAGAATAAGTGCTAAGAAAACAAAGTAAAATTAATGCAAAAAACTCCGCTTGAAAAAAAAGAAAAATGTTAAGTATGTACTGGGAATTGTAGAAATTTATTACAAAGGAAATAAATCAGCTGAGTTCGTCAAAAAGTACGAAAAAAACAAATAGATACAATAAATAAATTGAAAAAAGAAAACTTAAGTGATTAAGTACAAAGTAAAGTATAAAACCTATTAAAATTAATTTAAATTGTATCATAAAAAAGACTTCGGAAAAATATAAAACCAAAGTAAATACAAAATATGAATAATGTTCTCTAAACAAAATATAGCAAAACTGTGATGATAATGTATATTAGGGTGAGTCATAAAAATCAAATATCCTTTGCTATGAAACGAGATATTTTTCAAGTAGTTAGAAGCGAGATTTGATTTTTTCTGATCCGATAATAAGAAAAAAAACTGAAAACTGTAAAGCGGAGGACCTTTCCGTTACAATTAGAAATTCATACTTGGAGCGATTTTCGATGCCTAAGAACCTATTTTAGAGATAATATATATATATACAATATTAAAAAATTTACGAATAAAAATAAAATAAGAAAAAATGTTAACTTCGGTTGCACTGAAGCTATAATACCCTTCACAAATTCAAAAAGTTCCTTAGAAGAACTTAATTCCGATGGTTCAGTTTGTATGGCAGCTATATGCTATAGTGGTCTGATAACGGCCATTCCGACAAATGAGCAGAATCGTGGTGAGAAAAGGAAAAGGGCTAAATTTCAGATCGCTATCTATATACATACAGACAGATAGACATACGGACAGATAGACGCATATGGTTAAATCGACTCAGCTCATCATGCTGATCACTTCTGCATACTATTTATAGTGTCTCCGATGTTTCCTGCTGGGTGTTATAAACTTCGTGGCAAACTTAATATACCCTGTTCAGGGTGTAAAAATGATAAAATAGAAAAGTAAAAGTTCTAAAAATAATTAAAAAAATATAAAATAAAAATATATATAAGACAATATAAGAATAACAAAATATTAAAAATTGTGAATACAAACCAAATATCTTTAAATTAAAAATTATAAAGTAAACAAGAATTGTCTAATATTACAAAACATAAATACAAATTAAATTTATATTAATAAAAGCTTGAACGCATAACTCAAAAAAGGTATTTAATTACAAAAACAAAAATAACATGAAAAGAGATATTTTTAAAATATTATTATAAACTTAAATAATATAAAAGAGTAATAGTGGATATAACATCCCGTTTCGCGATTGAGCTGCAATGGGTTCCAGAACACAGTGATATTCCTAGTAACTGTGAAGTAGATGAACAATTTAACTCCGGAAAAGAGGGAATTTATATAGCTCTGGCTACTTGTAGATATTTAATCAACCGACAAACATGACATAAATATAGCTGAGTCTTGGTGAATTTAATCCCTAACTTGCGCAACAACACAGACAAACGTGGCGCGAATGAAAAAAGGACCTCACATGCTGACTATTAAAATTCAAAAGGTATGACATAAGAACTCTAATACGAGGACTAACAGATCACTTCCTAATTTGCAGATATACCAGCAGACCGGGAACACAATACAATGACTATTGTAGAAGCTATCAGGAGTGAAGAGAAGAGGGAAATACAAAACATCTTTTCGTTCCATAAGAAAAGAATTGCAACTATGAGACTAGGATTTTTTGATGATGTCTCGGGGGTTGCACAAATGAATTGATGAACTCTAATAGTAGCAGGGGGTGGTTCAGAGTGGACATAATGAAGAGAGGGAATTTTATTCTCGGTGCTTTCACAATGGGCCTCCTAACGGCCTAGGTGCGTCATCAGACTACACTACCTACCTAACTAAATAATAGTTTCAAAAATTATAAAACAATACAAAATATGAAAAGCAAGAACTCAAATATAAAATGTCCAAAAATTTATCCAAAATCAATCAAAACTGAAATTATTTGGACTACACTTACAATTCACTACGTTAAGCGCCAGAGTATAGTGACATAGCTAAAAGCTTTAATTAATACTTTTTTTTTAATTTTTGTCAGATCAAGACGTTAGTTTGCAGCTTTCCAAAATATAATACTTTCAACCATAATCGTTGAAACTTCTCCGAAAATTATTTTTAATATTCTTTTACAAGTTATATGTACTATGAAAAATATGTTGTCCAAAAAGTTTAGTTATCAGAAAACAAACATGAGGTTTACCAATTTTTCGTGAATTCCAAAATATAATTTCAAAAAATAGTTTTAATTGTTCTTTTAATAATCATTTAATTTAATATTCATTTTGTTAATCAATTAACTCTATGACTTCTACAAAGAAATCTTGGCAATAAGAAATTTTAACAGCAACTTTTCATCAATTGAATAAATTACTTTATTCAGAAACTTTATGAATTCATTTTCTATTCTTAGCAGATTGTATGTTATGCTTCATTAACGTTGCACCCACTTGACTGTTTCTGTTCATTAACTTTAATTAATCATCCGCCATATTGTATTCTCATTATACCCTGAACAGTGTGTATTAAGTGTGCCACGAAGCTTGTAACACCCAGAAGGAAACGTTGGAGATCCTATAAAATGTATATATAAATGATCAGCGTGACGAACTAAGTCGATTTAGCTATGTCCGTCTGTCTGCCCTTATATACGCGAACTAATCCTTCAGTTTTTGAGATATGTATCTTAAATTGTGCACACGCGTTTTTCTCCAAAAAAAGCTGCTCCTATGTTGGAACCGGCGTCTTTGGTTCAATATAACATATATGGAATATATAATATATATTATATACGGAATGTATCGAAAATTTTTTCAGTTGACGAGATATCTTCACTAAATTTGGCATGGGTTATTTCTTAGAGCAATGGTGTCATCTCCAAAAAAATTGTTTAGATCGGATCACTATATTCTATAGATGCCACACAAATGGAAGGATTGGAGTAAAGTGCTTGTCTGAAAAGTTTTTTCATTTGATAAAATATCTTCTCGAATTTTGGCATAAATGTATTATTGGTTAAGGCATCGCTACTATCTTCGAACAAATTGTTCATATAGGACCACTATAGCATATAGCTGCCATACAAAGAGGGGCTGAAGGGTATTCTAGCGTAGGCGCAACCGAAGTTAACGTTTTTTTCTTATTTTTATTTGCACTTATACTTATTCGAGTGGTTGCCCAGACTAATCGGATTTATTGTTGACTTGTCTAACAAATGTATGACTTCTTTTATAACACAACTCTAAAGTGAAATGTCGCTAAATTGCACATTGGGAAATAATGAGATCACTGACTACTCTTCTTTAACACGGCAAAATTTAAAAATGCTCAAGTTTGTTTTCTGTAAATTTGTGGTAAAGTGACATGAGTTTACATTCAATAGCATTCTGACTTTTTAGTCAGTTTCTAAGTTTAAGGTCCTAAGGATTTATTTGAGAATTAATGATTATATGCTTTAACTTTTCGGCTCAGGGCTTGATTCTCTCAACGTTAACTAGTTAATTAAAAATCATGTTGGCTTTTTTGGTATCTGTTTCTTCATTTTTTTACCAAGAATAGAAGATAAGTAAAGGCATATTTAAGGCAAAAAGGTTGGATTTTGAACTTTTTTTATATTAATGTTATATGCTAAAAAACAGTCTGAAACGTTTTTTGTGTAGTCGAGATAATCTAGAAGATAACGATAATACTAACGAGTGTAGAAGTTTTAATCGCTAAGCTCCGGAATAGAACAACACTATGGCGAAACACCGTTGAATTTTTTTTTAAATTATGTTTTGGATAAATAATATATGCTCAGATCTCTGGCAGTAGTTTCAAATTTATATATTTTAATTTTTATATATAATATAATATTTGTGAATTTTTACTAATATTTAAATTTGCTTAATTATTTTACTTAACGAAACCTTATATAATTTTATCCAACGCAACAGATGCCTTCAAATACAATGGCATCACTTTAATATTTAATTAAACGAGAAAAAAATTCACTCAAAACTTTAAGGAACAACTGGCCTTAAAAGGCTTCTCCTAGCCGTCATTTGAAGGTGGCTAAAAACTTGTAGAGTTTCACATTTATTGGATAAACTTAAAGCGCTTACACCAAAAAGAGTAAGAGCTTTAATACATATCTAACAAAGTATTACCGACTCTCCAAAAATCTTTCGCTTACACTTTGACCTTACATTAATACTTAACTGCTGCTGAGTTAACCACTTTACTTTTTGATTAATCGGCATTCATGTTCCGTATTTAACCCATTTGGCCGTCAAACTCAGGCATATCTAATAGTTGATACTATAAAAAAAGCGGCATACACTTAGAAGGTTGTATGCCTTGCCGACTTGAAACTGTTATACCATAAACCTTCAACAAAGTGTCTAACTGCCTTCCGCCTGTAGCATTGCTCTTCTATTTCCTTATTCTAACTGCTCCTCTGCTGCGTACACACTTTTACAAAGTCATGCGTTCCGGTCTGCTTGTGTCTTATCAAATAACCAACTTAGATGGCACTTTCTTTCGTCCAGCCTGGCAGTAGCTTCGTATATTTTTTGCTTTTGCTTTAATTTGATTTACTTTGCTTTTTTATGTTTTATTTTTTATTTTTATTTTTACTCTTTTCTATTATATTTCTTTATTTTATATTTATTCATTTTTATGTTTTAGATTTCTTCATTTTTATTTTCCTTCATTTCGCGCTACTGCCAGCCAACTCCCATTATGCCACTAACACTAAAATACTAAAAAATAGTTCACTGCCTTGGTTTGCCCATTCGCGTCGTCTGTTTGTCTGGCAGTCGCACTATTTGGTGTTACAATTCACGCTCACATATAGCCGCACGCACAGACAGACACTCGCAACAAATCAGCTTTAGATAGAAATGCCCTGATAGTGATGCCTAACCCAAATACTTGTACACACACAAATACATACATACATGTAAGTGAGTATATCTTATATCACGTTGGCAGCTGCAAAAGCGACGCTAATAGGGCGGATAGTATTCAATCTCGACATCAACTACAGCATCTTTAGCGATAGCGTTGCTGTGCTAAATCGCTCTGTTGTTTTATGCGGCGCGGGTCGATGTTAAGTGTATTTCTCATTTTATTAGTCTACTTACAGGCGTTTAACTGCCTGTGATTGTAGCACTTCGCTTTTATATTATCATTTTCACACAAATAGCAAACAAACTCACATATATATAACTTGAAACTAAATATGCTGCCAACGCATTGCGTATGTATGTCACTGGCTATCCGCGCGTAAATTACACATTAATGAGGGATATTATCTAACTACAATTAATTAGGTTAAACGTTTCGAAAGCAGTACAATTGTACGACTATGTTTGGTTGAGCGAACACGCGAATACGCGAAGTGCTCGTATTGTGTGTCTATTTTTTTTTTGTTTGCTGCTGCTGCTGTTTCCTCACGTTCGCGTCACGGTCGTATTTGGTGCTTTTACTTTTTTTGTGTTGTTTTGGCTTTTTTCAATAATATGCCTTTCCGACGTATTTTTTATTCGCACGAAATCGGCCTGCTTTTCCTCGTTTTATGTCGCCACAACGATTTTGCCGCGTATGCAACAGCGCCGTTCCACGTTTCAAAACCTACTAAACACTTGTGAGCCGTCGCTGACCGACGCTAGCGAGGATAATGTTGACAACGACGACGACGACGACTAGGACGCCGAGGACGATGAGTACAACGCCGACAACAGGATAAGAGTCAGTCATACAGCCATTTCCCTATAATGTACACACATGTATGTATGTATGTAAGTGTGTGTGTGTGTGTAGTTACACTCAACAACAAACGAATCATAGAAGCGTGAAAGCACAATGGACTGTTAACTCATGAAAGCTCAACAGCGCACCGACAGGCGACAAAAACAATACCATCCAAATTGAGTGCGTGTTTATAAAAAAGCTTGAGCGCCTGAAGTGGCGCAGAGGTTTGCAAGGCAAACAACAATATAGTGCCAACACGACATACGCTCAGATGTACCTTCCAAAGCAGCGGAGCGCGTAAGATTGAGAGAGTGACCTGTAGGTATCAGCGTATATCGACACGCAAGGAAATTAATTAGAAAGTCGTGTTGTGGCAGGTTGCAATGGTTTTGTTATGTGGTAAACAAACATAACGCCTAAAAGTTGACCAAACAGGTCACACACACATATATATATATATATATATATATACATTGTTCTCTAATGATTTGAGTGCCAGTGTGAGAGCGCAAGTGCGCGCATTTGTTGTGAGCGCCGCTGCTGGAGCTTCCAGCCAGTGTCAATTTGAACGACTGTTGCTTTGGGAAATTGTTGAGAAAGGTAGGAAATACGAATAATTCATATAAATGCGCGTATAATATAATATATACATTATGGTTGCATACAGTGGGTCACAGACAGATCAATCGCTACTGAAAGTACTCATAACGTTTCCGTAGTTCGGTTTTTCCTAGCATTCTTTATAGCTTTTCGAATTGAGACTTCAATTGCCTAAACGAAACGATGTTTGCATGTAAGTACTTCTCCACTTGGTTTCTAGAACCGACAGAAATTTTATTTCAAGGCAATTGCCGAGTCAACGAGAAGCTTATACTCAGACAAATTCTTTAAGATTCAGAAGATTCGTAAATATTCTTCAACTGCATTTGCTGAGAATTACTTTACAGATGTAACTTTAGATCGTCGGTTGTTAAATATTTCTCTCTATTCTTTCAAACTAATGTGAGTAAAACTTGCTGCTAAAATCATCTTTGTAAAATATATTAAATATTTATTTTTATATCTTATACTTAATCGCCTTTATATTATGACTTTTTTCTTATTTTATATTAAATTTACTCTTCGAATACGTGAAGGAGCAAGAAGAAAAGTTACGAGCTTTATAGCTTTCACTTAAAGCTCAGCGGACTTAGTTTTTTCACTAACCAATTCACTTCTCATAACAATTGTTGTTTAAATATTTCTTTATAGTTATATGTTCTCGTTTTTCACGACACTTCATTGGCCATTAATACAATATGTAGTTTTCAATGTGGTTGAGTAAGCTTTCACCAGTATTTACGATTGACGTTGTTCATCAAACCCTATAAGTTTTAATCATATCTGAGCGGAAATTTTTATGAGAAGTAATTATAAATAGTAGGAAAGGAAGATAATCATTAAAAAGGCTCTTTGATATATTAGACTTTGCCGGGTGTTAAAAAAGAATTTTCAGAACAACGCATTCAGAAATATTATATTTAAAGGAAGCAGTAAAGGTTTATTAATAAAAATAATATTCGAAACAAATAGGCGGTCTTATTGACATTTGGATTTCAGTAATAATTTTTTTTTTTGCTTTGGCAGAAAAGTGTTTTTTTTTTAATTTAATTATTTTTTTTAGTATATTTAAAACCGGAAGTCTAATTTTCGCACTCTTGTATATACAAAAAAAATAAATAACTCACTCTTTTCAGCTCTTTAAACAAAGTAATTAAAAAAAAGCGTGCTGCCACTTAAATGGTGTAAAAACAAATGAAAAATTAACGTACAGAAACATTAGTACTTAAGTACAATTACTCAACTTACACATAACTCCATAAATATAACAATAGAAAGTCGTATGAATCGACTCTCATGCTTCCATAAATTATTTTCTAATTTACTCAAAATGATTAACTCGCCCGTTGGAGCTTTTAAACTTTCACTCTGAGCAAATCTGCGTGCTCAACAGCTGACTATGCATATTTGCTCTCTCGCTCTCACACTCTCACGCACGCTGTATAGCTGTTAGAAGAGCAATTTACGTGGTCTCAATAGTATGTCGTAAATAGTGGTAAATTATTTTGATTGAATTGCATATTTTCGTACTTAACATTCCTCGAAGAGACTCCTCGTGCCCATTCAAGTGGGTTAACTACAATTTGCGGCACGTTAATGTGAGTGTTTGTGCTATGAGCATACGGTGAATGAATGCCTCACGGTCTTTAAATAGTGGTAAATCATCATTTCACACCATTGAAAGTGTTGCAATGTCGTTGCCGTCGCCGCTGCTACCACTGCTGCCACTACTTCAACTACTGCAACACACTTTCACATAACAAAGTTTCATTTTTTTTGTTAGGTGGCAGCTGAGGCCAATGTTACAGTTTCAATTAATTAAAGCATTTTCATTTTTGGTATTGTTATTGTTAATGTGTTTGTTGTTATTGTGTTGTTTGGTTCATTCTCCGCGGCTTTGCCACTTGTAGTCGCGGAGCATGGGCAAGACAATGGGTACCTTAACAACGCCCACCGCACGGCTAAGGGCAAGGATATGAGGGTCGGGTCTGCGCGCGTCATTGTAACCATGTGCTGGATTAGATGTTACTGTTGTTGCTGTGTTTTGAGCGTTTTTGGTGTTGCTGCTGCTGTTCAGTGACACTTCGTCAAAGAAAAGTTTTTGTTTGGACCGCTATTCCCCCTCTTCTACTCCATGGAAATACATAATTAGTTGTGTGCTTTAAGGTAATTTATATTTTCCAGTGAAGTGGCTTATTAATTCTTACAATAATTATTATGTTAGAAAACTTTTGGACTATTTGGTGCACTTTAAAAAGTGTTTCAAACAGACGGGTTAAGCTTTGACAAAACCCTTCTCAAACTTTGCTTTAATTAAATGCAAAGATTTATATTACTGTTTTAAGCAAGTGAGGAGGGTAAAAGCAATAGCTATTGATTACTTTGCACTTTGCAAGCGCTGGAAGCATGCAACCTTTCCTGGAACTTAACTCAACTAAGTTTACATGTTTAATAATAATACGAAAATTATTTGCTAGTTTGTAAATTTCTTGTTAAGTATATCAAAATGCAACACTGCTCTTACTAACTTCTTCCTGTAATTATTGGATAAGAGTATTAAAAACGTCTATTCGATTTTAGCCGAGATTACGAAGTCTTGCCATTCGCTAGTTTACTTCGCAAATTTGAACCATATAATAAAACTATATAATATAAAAATTAAATAGAGGCTTTTTTTTTAGACTTGTCATTTTTAAAAAGTGATTATTGCCAAGAAGTAAGCTTTATTATAAATATAGGAGTTTCCCAATATGTTTCAAAAATGATTTCTGACAAGTAACCGCCTAACTATATTTTTAAAATAAATTAAATTTATTGACAACTTTTTCTGTTTTTTTATTTATCAAATATTAAATACTATTAATATGAGCACGACTGTATTACAATATAAAGCAACAAAAATAAGCTTTGTGTATTGATTTAAGGATAAGTTCAAGATGCTTGTAAAAATTTAGCTCTTAAAGTTCTTCTCTTGGTTAATGCCAATCTTGCGAGAGTTAACCACTGCAGTTTGCAACTGAACAAAGTTAAAGGAGCGAGAATTGCTTAATACTCAAACCGGTTGCCAAACTATAAACAACAAAAACCAAACAGACGACATTTTAGCCAAAAATCGTAGTGTATTTGAGGCGAAACGATGCACTCAAGGATTGATAAATCAGACTCCACTCGCCAATATGCAAACACCAACAAAGTATGTATGATTATGTGTGTATATGACAAAGTAACCTCTCGGACACTCACCACAGTGTCTTCGCACAACTTTATCTTGCTTTGAATCGCAAATTTTTGCTCTTTCGAGCAAACGATTACCTTCGAGTTGCAATTAAATTCCTTCATTCCATGCTCTAATTCAATATGTGTCGGAGCTGCATTCGAATACAGATTTACCGACTTATATACATATACAAATATTATACCTATGTGTCAATAAGTAAACTATATAAATGGGAGCTTTTCTGAACCACTCAAAGCGCCAATTCGAACAGTTCATTTCTATTCGTCTTGGCGCGCACTTCGAAGTCTCAGCAACAGATATTACGGAATATCGCGATCGATCTAACCGTTTCCCAGAGAAAAATACATATTTAAAAATAGTATTGTAATTTAGTTCAAAAGATATAGTATTAATTGATATATGTAAATGTCAATAGCGTCGTAATTATCACTCACTTAAAGTCAGCGTGGCGTTCTTACTACTCTGTTGACATTACTCAGTAGCGAGGTCAAGCTCTTAATTGAATTATTACTTCGCACAGTGACACACAGTAGAGAAAAGCAACACTAAAAGAAAAGAATAAAAAATAAGACGGTCGCTACACAACCGTGGAAGCTAGCGACAGCCGGCGGTTCGTCAGCTGATGATGCATTAAGTGCTGCCGGCAGTGCCAATCAGCCGCCAACAGCCAACGGGCAATGGCATATCAAGTGAATATACCGGCAACCCTACAACGCGACACTTTGGTTGCGCTGCTTTTCCTCATCATCCTGCAGGCGTTAAAGGTACGTTGCGATGCCGCCCTTGTCAACGCCGTTACGCTGAATGACGACGTTGTTGGAAACCCACTCGCGTTCACAAGTAATACACCGCCGGAATCACCACAGTCGCTGCGCACCTGTAATTCAATTGAGGTGCGCACAAGAAAGGATTTTGAATTGCTAAAGAATTGCACACGTGTGCATGGTCATGTTTGGCTGGCGCATATGCAGTTGACGCCGCACGATGTCGGTGCGCTGAAATACCTTAGTGAGGTGGAGGAGATTACCGATTACCTACTGGTGCATCGCGTTCATGGTCTACCTTCGTTGCATCATATATTTCCACATTTGCGCCTCATACGCGGTCGTCGTTTGCTCTTCGACGAGTTTGCACTGGTCATATATGAGAATCGTGATTTAGGCTATTTAGGGCTCGGCTCGTTGTTGCGCATACAGGCCGGTAATATTAGGATCGAAACGAATCCAACACTTTGCTATGTGGATACCGTGAATTGGGTGCAGTTGTTGGGCAATAGCTCACAGCAGCATTTCTGGTACAAGGTGGGACTCAATAGCTCAATTTTGCGTTCATTTACTTTTGTTTTTATTGGTTTTATTTGGCATTTGTTGTAGAATAATAAGCTGTACAATCATTGTACGCAATGCAAGCGCACCAGAAATCAAATTCTTGTAGAAGAAGACCTGCCGAATAGGTTGCGTAAGCATTGCTGGGGCTATGATATTCCACAAGAGCGACCGGCTACGAATAATGTTGTCAATTGTCGCGCGGAGTGCGGTGTTCGTGGTTGTGATGACAATGGTAGTTGTTGCGATCGTAATTGTTTAAGCGAGTGCGATGGCAAGCGTTGCAATTTGTGTGCGAATCTGAATCTGGAACGCCAGTGTGTCGACAAGTGTCCACAGAACTATTATCAGGTAGGCGGTATATTTTTAATTTCATTCGGAAGTAAATATTTTTTTCTTTATGACTTTTATTTTTTGTTCTGCAAACTGGATTGACTTATAAGCTCTCAATTATTGTACCGTACCGATGGAAGCATCCAACTGCGCTCAATTAATATGGAAGTTATTAAATCAGCTAGAATAGAATTTAGTCGTATTGGCTTTCTATTAGATAGGACTCGGCCACGATTCGAGGATGATCTACCTTTCGGCTGTCCTAAGGATCTCCTCTTCAAACAATGCCCACCCCATCTCCTCTTAAAAAAATAATATGTTCGCTGTAATTTCCAGTTAATAGTCTCGTTTACTCGATTTATAACCGAAACCTCAAAGAACATTCAACAGTCGCGTAACCAACTCTGTAGAATAACGGTTAACCTTTTTAAATCATCCGAAATCTTGTTGCCATAGGTCCTTTAGGGTTTATAAGTATTATTTATTAAAATATGGTTGTTTCTGAGTACCTCTTTGCTGGTCCACTTCGAAGGATATGTTTTGAAGCATATATTTATTTATCCTTAGATTAGATTAGATTAGATAATGATTGAGGTATGCACCGCGACCTATGGTCTATTGTGCCCTCCCCTAAGTCACAGCGACTCATCTAGCCCTAGCATATTGATGAACTCCAATATACTGCTAGGTGCCAATGAGGCGATGCGATCCCTGTTTGGAAACATGGATCCCAGGGCTTTGACTCTACGTCTGTAGACTGCTGTGCAGTCCATTAGTAGGTGTCTTATTTATCCTTTCTCTTTTTTACTTTCAAAAGAACATATAATTATACCACAATATATATCAAAATATTTTTAGCATGAAGATCGTGATTGCATAAGTGCATCGCAATGTCAACAATTGGGTTCAATACCGTTAGCGGGTATTTGCATGGAGAATTGTCCTAAAAATTATTTGAGCACAGTCGATACAAAGGGAAACAAGATTTGTAAATTGCAATGCTCTGGAAAATATACCATACACACAGCAACCGATGCGGAAAGCCTGCAAGGCTGTAGTAAAATAAACGGTTCACTCATCATCGAACTGACCGATATTAAGAGTAAGTTGGAGCGGTTATATGAACGAAAAAAAAAACGAAATTATTAAATGCATTGTATTTATTGCAGCCAAAATCACTGACTTGGACAACGCGTTTGTTAATATTACCGAGATCACTGGTTATTTGAAGGTGGTAAACTCACCACAGTTGCTCACGCTATACTTCCTACGCAATTTAGTCACCATACGCGGTGATGAGCTCGTCAATGATTTGTAAAGCAACTTTTAATTATTTTGCACAGTGTTATTATTATTTATTTTAATTTTAATTATACTATTTTCCTTCTACTTTTTTGAAGATATGCGCTTGTTGTGCTCGATAATTATCACTTGTCCGAAATATGGGCACCAAATCAAAATGTTGCCATACTAAAGGGCAGCATATACTTTCATTTAAATCCACGCTTATGTTTATCTAAAATACGTGAACTACAAAAATCGTTGAAAAGCGCCAAACTCATTACCACGGTGAATGCTTCGCCACACTCAAATGGCGAGCGCGTGATTTGTGAGTACATATTTTTTGTTTTGTTTATTATTTAATAATTTTTTATATTTTGTTTTTAACTTGCAGGCACCAGTCCCCTTATTAATTTAACAGTTACAATTGAGGATTACAATTCTACAGCTGCGCGCGTGAAAATAGAGACATTCACTCTGAATAATATACAAATTATACTTGGCTATGTGTATTTCTATAAAGAAACGTCGGTGCAAAATGTAACACTCTATGACGGAAGGCATGGCTGCGGTCATGATAGGTACGTATATGCTTCTGAAGAATCTGCATTCGTATCTTTCGAATTTGTATGTAAAAAAAATATTAAAAAATATATATTAAGTTTCTCTCATTGCTTACAATCTTATACAAGCTTTATAAATGACAAACACATAACACATCTTTAAAAAAAATTCAAACATAACCTTACTTCTCCGCAGCTGGCATATGAAAGTGAATCCCACTAAAAATATCCGTTATATCATTACCAATTTGAAGCCGTACACACAATATGCTTACTTCGTCAAAACGCTCACGATGACCGATTATCATATACACATGGATGCATATTCGAAAATACAATATTTTCGCACACTGCCAAGTAAACCTGGACCGGTGAGGAGAATCTATTACACAGCGATTGCTATGGACAAAATTGTATGTAGAATAAAGTATGGTATTGCACTCGTAACTTATAATGGGCTTATTTTGCATTTAATGTTTTATAAAGGTCTTACACTGGTGGCCACCACGCAATCCGAATGGCATTATCGAAAAGTACATAATTAATTATGAAAAGCCACAGATTGCAAAAGAAAGTATGTCACTTAGTATTATAAATAAGTAACTTTTTTTTTAATATTTACTTCTATTATAGATGTGACACTCGGTAATTATCCAGATTTGCGTAAATATTCTGAATCCTGTGATTGTGTTTTCGTAAATCCAGAGGATAGTGGACCTTTGCCCTCGGATGAAAACTATTATTTTAAGGAACAAATCATTTATGAAGAAACTTTGCCGAATTTGATTTTTGTGTCGTAAGTAACAGGAAAAATAGATTGCGGCTGATTACATACTTTTTTTTCACGTTCCTCCCTTTTAGTCGTAGGATAGATAATGTGCGCGTACGCCGTAATGCCGACACTAATATCTTTAATGAAAGTCCGAATTGTATTGGAAGAAAACTGTCAGTCACGCACAATACTATCAATTCTTTTTTGGATAATACAGAAAAACATTTACGCATTACACGCAAAATACTAGATAGTGAGGCCAAATCAAAGGATAATAATAATAAATTGGAAGAACAAATGAATAAAGATGATCACGATCTTGAAGAAGAACAAAGGAGACGAGGTGAAGCCAGCCTTCTTTGGATACTGGAGCAACAGGAAGAACAAGCACGTAAGTTGCAGGATACGGGCCCAGACGATTTTCCAATTATCAAGCGGCGACCGGTGTGTCCGATACGAGATGCATCAACACAATATCAATTGCAAAACAATTGTCGGCCACTGGAAATATACGATGGTATAATAACGCCGGGTAACATACATTCCTACACTTTGGCTGGTCTGGAGCCCGACCAAACGTATCGTATAACAATACGCGCTTGTGCCACCAATTTAACAAATGGTTGCGGCGAAGTAACAAGTATTTTTGCGGAGACGGTTAGCAAGAGTATGGAAGAATTCCTTGAGGGTTTAAGAGCTTTTGATTAATATGAATAACCAACACTAGCTTCACACAAATGTAATTGTATTATTGTAGTGATTAATAAATTTAAGTTGTATATTAATTGCTTATATTTGATACAATTAACTTTAAATAGCACAGCATTTAGTTTTGAATGATTTGAATTAATTTCTTCTAATAAAAACATTCAACAATTTCCGCCTGTATGTCGATAATGCTGGCTTTGATATTTGTTTATGATGCCATCGTGTTAAATAAATAAATTCCAGTCAAAAGAGAGATAAAGAATTCAAACGTGATAAAATATATAGTAATCAACGAGCGAATGATTGTATTTGAATTTGTTTCTTAAAAGAGTTACTACAATGAAAAGTCTGTCTAATAAGTTATTATTATCAACAATAATAAAACACAAAATTTTTTATAAATTGTCCACAGTGGATAACGCAGTGCTTTATGTTCTTTGTTGTGTGGCGATATTCGTATGTAAACGTCGTTGGCAACACCACACTTGGTAATTTTTCAGTAGGAGAAAAAGTGTCAAAGTAAGTGCAAGTGTTTAAATATTGTTTGCTACATAATTGATTTTTCCTTAAAATACTGCGTTCAATTATAAAGTTAAATACATTTTGTGTTATCAAATTCTTATTGAGTAGTAATTTACCATAATTATTTATTATTACTGTAATTGAAAGCGCAAACGTGTGTATAATGTGCAATATATGTACGTCATCTGTGACGCTGGCAGGCGTCAATGAAGTAGCAGCGCCGGACTATCTTGTCCAAATAAAAATATACATATCATCTTTTTTTTTTGCCTATTTGATAAATGCTTAAGATATGTATGTGTGAGAAAGTGTTATAAGAATTTAATAGTTTGATTGTATACGTTGTTTATTATTTAAGAATAAAAATCTAACCATTCGTAAATAAATCCAAAAATAGCGTAGCCAAGGAACAGTGGAGAATATTGAAATTCTTAACGAAAGCGCACAACATTCAATTGACTGCTTTACAATTTAATTAATATTAATTAAATAAATTACCAGTATAGCAATGCAATATTAAATATTGCGAGAGAAAATGAAAACAACAAGAGCAATCGTAAAATTCTTCAGAGCACAATTGAAGTGTATGCTTGTTAAATGTTGGTGTACAATATAATTGCAATATTTTTATAACAAAACAAATATTGTATTATGAAACTGCTTACACAAAAGACATCGCGCTGTGGATATACCATATTCTCATTTTTTATTGCAAGTGCAAGAGTCTTGCCTAGGGGTGAATGTATTCATTTGCTAAGCAATGATTACAATAAGGCGCCAGTTTGGTTATAAACTTTAACACATTGAAATGGAAAAATTAGGGAAGCCTTATTCTTTATTTCGTTTTTTATTTTCAATAGCAAAAATGACCTCACAATGCAAAGGAATAAAAATTAAATTATCTCATGGATTGTAGTAAATTGTCAACAACATGTTTCCCTGATAATCAAATTTATATCAAGCTGAGCATTTAGCTTTATTATTTGATACGAAATGACATTCAAAAGCAATATAGTTTCTATTTCATATCGTTCTTTCCTGCACCTGTAAACTTATGAAAAGTGATGTTACGTTATATTTCATTTTAGCAGATATGAATTCTTAAGCTTACGCTTTTCGCGTACATACACATATAAATATATAAAAAAAATGGTAGTTATGATTAATCCAACACCACGTGCTAAAATAATTGACCTATGACAACGAAAATTCAATACAGCCTCAATAGTTTCTAATTATTGTCATATAAAGTCAACATTTCGTTGAAAAATAGTGTTTGTAATTAAAATTATTATAATTGGATATACTCGAAACTAACCAAGTTCTATAATCTAACAATGAAATGACTAATAACTCTTGAATTTGTTATCGGAATATGTATATTAACTATCGCCACAGGCAGTAAAAAATTAACTTTTAGAAGTTGCAAGCGATAACTTAATGAATACCCAAGTTGAAGTAGGAAACAAAAATTACTGATAGGACTAAGCAAAATCCCTCATCATATTAGAAGGGCCCACAGTTGTATTGCATATATAATTTAAAAAAAATAACAGATTTTATCTTGACGTTTTTGCTGCAATTAAACGCTTTAGAAACTTGTTTTAGCCAGTTTACTTTTCAATTAATTGCATTTGTTGTTGTTTCGTGTTAAGTCAGCCGGTGCTTAACTTGTTTTGCACATATTGGTAAGACTAAATGAGTTTATTTTCCAACTTAGAATGTTTTCAACGAATATATAATATACAAAAATATGTGTTCAGGCAATGCCCCTGACTTGAATTTATTAGTTATTTGTACTTATTTAATTACGTGCTATTACAATTTCGATATTGAATTGCCACAATTAGCGATAAGAGCAAATCATATCAGAGCAACATTAGGCATGTGTCACGGTAAACGATTACAGTCGAAAAGTCTGGTATCACTTTTTGATAATGCAAGATGTACATACATACATATATAAGGGTATAATGAATTAGTATAAAATTATTACATTAACACAATTACACATCCTTTATATAAGATTAAGACTACATTTAACTTCTTGTATTGCGTTCACAGGAAGACTCTTTTGTCGCTCATAATGCCAAACTCGCTCATTACGTTCAAATTCTTGTGCGCTTCATATACGCGGTGAACAAAAATATTTTTAATTTACTAATTTTTTCATACATATATTATGCACTTTTGCATACATATTTGCACATTACATACAAAAAATATATAATAACATTAAATTTTCCGAACATATATCGTAAATATTCTTTCGAAAGCAATTACAACTATGAAAAGAATTTCAAAATGAAAAGTAATACTGAATTGCGTAGTAGCGAACTGTTTCGAGGAATGCTGCCGAGTTGTTAATCATTGGCCAGATAAAAATCCGGCTGCATTCCGGTTACTTAGACCCGACTGTCGTGGGACTTCGTCTTTCCTCGTCGTCTCCTCGCATACAAAAAACCAGTTTGGGCGACAAAAGAGGCTTCATGTGAACGCAGTCTTAGCAGATACATACAACATACAAGATTGCGCGCAAACCAACTCACATACATACATACGAATATATTTAGGTCTACAATATTAATAAATATTATAAAAATATCAGTGTTTAACTTGAAGCGACGTGACCGCCTCCTTCGTATGGTGTCATAACATTGTCAGCTCATGCATAAATTATCAGAATAAAGAAGTTATCTGCTGATGCTATTACTACAGATATGTTATCTTGTCAACTCTCTCCTTATCTAAAGTTATAGCTTGTACATACATATGTATGCTAAATACGCAAAATATAATATATATTCTTTTAGCGTAACCAAATAATAATATGCTCTTGCAACCATATTCATTTCGTTACAGTTGTTCGTCGCAATTAGACTCTTAACTCGAAGCAGTGCTTCATCATAGTACAGAAAATCTTAGCAAATTTGTTTGTGAACTGTGATATAACACGTGGAAAGAGTATTACGCCTCTACAAAACACACACACACAACCACATCTATCTAACCACTAAACTGATAAAAACAAACGCCAAAATATGTCGCAGAATCAGTCATATTTTTGGCAAACCACCAAACATAATGTTTATCTCAAACGTTCGGCCAGATTACAAATGCTAATAGCGCTTTTGGCCGTGCTAACGTTCTCCACCATATGTCAGGCAGAGGTGGCACGTAAAGAGATTGACGAAAATGTTGCCACATTAAGTGCACCAAGCGTGAGTAACAAATTATCGCGTAATTACTAAACACCCTTAACATAAATAATTTTCTATTTAATTTTGAATTTGTTTTTTTTTTCATAAAAAGGCTTTCCCCGATGACAGACAGTACGTAAAAGATGCCATGAATGGAAATGCAGCAAATGATTTGAATGAAGAAAACGCCACCAAAGAGTCAAAATCTAACTCCGGCTTTATCGATGCGTTCTCCGCATCGATATCAGTGATATTATTTACTGAATTAGGTGATAAGACTTTCTTCATAGCTGCCATCATGGCGATGCGCCATCCGCGCTTAATCGTCTTTGCTGGCGCCATATCAGCGCTGGCGCTGATGACCGTACTTTCGGTGGTGTTTGGCATGGCAGCTACCATTATTCCTAAGATTTATACATATTATATTTCAACGGCGTTGTTTGCCATATTCGGTTTGAAAATGATCTACGAAGGTTACTTCATGAAGGACAGCGATGCACAGGAGGAACTGGAAGAAGTGCAATCGACTTTGCGTAAACGTGAGGACGAGGTAAGTCTGCTAATAAGCAATATAAACAACATGTGTGAATAGCAATATAGCTGTGCCATTTTTTTGCGTATCCTGATTATTTGTTAAACTTGTAGTTACACCATTTTTGAATTTGACATTTATTTTAGCTAGCTTCTGAGCTTTATCATTTCTCAACAACAAATCCCTTTAGTTAATTATGCACTGCCTCAACTGTCTACTTTTTATTACTCGTATCCTTTTTTTTTATTAATTTACTTTCAAAACAAATTGTGTGTGCTTTTCTTATAATTTAAGTAGTAACAGTTGAAAATGCAAACCAAAAGATATTAAAAAAAAAAAGTTACACTATTAAGACGCAAAATCTATGCGATTTATGAAAATGCGATCACTTCATCTTACAGCGCATAAATATCACACACTCACACACGCTACTCACTTAAAAAGAAGAACAACACACACATTTACATATATTGTATATACTATATATTTCTGGCAAATCATGACATGGGAATGTTGAAAATTTGGGTACAATTATTAACAATTAATTATATTATTTCATACATAAAAAAAAAGTTAACAATATCGTGCACTCTCATCATGGGCCACAAACTATTATATTTAAACAATTACAATTCTTATCACTATCTTTGTAAACTCGCGCTGATTAGTTATCGTACCGCAAACATACATATTTACTATATAACCATTATTTGGTAGGGTTTGTAAATAATAAGTTATATATTTATAATATATTTATATTTATATAAAATGTATAGCGCATTACAATCACAATGTTAATATTTTTTAAATTACTTTTTTTTACCTAAACGATATCTGGCTTATAGTGGAGTATTCTTCAACTATTCAATTCTTACACCAAAAATTTTTTTTTATTTTTAAATGTATAGATTTCCAAAGCAATAACGAGACTCGTAACTAGTTCATGAAATACTCAAATTAAATATTTATAATTTTTAAGTTTTGAAAATTATTATTTTAAATTGAAAGAGTTAGTACTAGTAAGTAATGATCGGGGATTATTTCCCAAGTTGTATTTTTTCTGCGAAGGTTCATCCTTTGTCCTAAAACAAGGCTTCAATTTAAAACGTGTCTAAATTATATTTTCCCAGCCACTACAGCATATATGTATGTACACTGAACGATCACCATTCAGCTTTTGTATGAAAAAACTGAAAACTGAAATTCAGCATAGATTATTATCCAAAACATCGCTACAATATCTGAAGGAATTATTTACATCGCACCACTATACCATACAGCTTTCATACAAACTGAATGATCAAAATCTAGTCCTTGTATGAAAAACTTTTTTTATTTGTCAATATATCTTTACTAAATTTGGCATGTATTATTGCCCAAGGCAAAAGTACAATCTCGGAAGAAATTGCTCAGATCGGACTATAGTTCACCAAAATCACAAAAAATAATAATTATAATTAAACAATTTTTTAATTATTTTTCAGTTAAATTTTTTTGTTTAAAATTTCTCTTGTTAAAACTCTCATAGAAATTTTTTTTATAAGAAATTTTTTTTATGTAGGAAATTTTATTAATTTTTTTATATAAATAATTTTATTCTTTTTTAATAGAAAATATATTTTTTAAAAGAAAAAAATGTTTGTTTTCATATAGAATATTTTAATTTATTTAATAGAAAAATTTTTTTTATATAGTAAATTGTATTTTTTTTTATGAACAAAATTTTTATATACAAACATTTAATAATACAATTAGTTAAACCATTTGCTCTTCTCCTGATATACAAAAATTAATTTTCATTCCACTGTTTTATTAAAATACATCGTTCACACATAATTCCGGCATTCATACAGCTGCTTTTTAAGACGCGGGTGATTTTCACTTTTTTTAAATAACTTTTGTGACTAATCGCACGTATATTTAGCTTTAATTAGCGTGCGCAAAGTTGCAAAGCTGTTACACATTGTAACGGCAATATTTATACTTGCATATATGTATGTATGTATGTATATTATACTTTTCCTTATGTTCAATTGTACTCTAATTTTTAACTTGATTTTGCAGGCGTTAGTAAATTGCAATGTTACACTTATGCAAATTTAGCAAAACAAAACAATTTTACTTCAACTAACGAACCTTTAGGCCTAACAAAATTTTTGTAAAAAAAAAAATTATGTTGAAAAAACTCAAAGTTGCATTGAAGGTTTATTTTAATATGTGTTCTTTTGATATTTTTCTCTCTCTCTTTTTACGATTCGGATGCATACTCTTGCACGATTTGCATAATAACAATTATAAATTATTTAAAAAAATATGAAAATCGTATAACTTTTAAATTTTCAACCTTAAAAACGACGCAATTGAATGCCTTTGCAAAAATTTTGCGATAAAACATAAAACTCCCCCATTCCAACTATCAACTATGCGCGCAGTTAATGCGTAAGCGCAGCAAATACGATGATGCTGATGCCAAGCGTAAGAATAGCAACTCGGATAAGGAGGACGAGTGTTTGGAGCGTGGCGCTGGCGTCACTACAAACAACTCGCATGACAGCGACAGCAACATCACTACCACCGTCATTGTTGCACATAGCAAAAATCCCGATATGTCGCATAGACAACGCAAGCATAACAACAATAACAATAATAATAATAATCAAAAAAATACAAATAAAATTGGCTGTGATGTAAGCAAGGATGCCGCTGATTCGGACAACAGCAGCTGCCATGAAAACGATATCTTCCTAAATGGTGTGAATGGTGTTAGTGGTGTTGGTGTCGGTGTCGGTGTTGCCGCTGTTGACAACATTCACAAATCGACCAACTTTCACAGCAGTCCCGCACTGTCAGCATCCGTGCTATCGAATCAAACTGAACAAACGAATTGTGATGAATTTACCAATAGTCCGAATAAGCTTAATTTTAAGTCGAATAATGATAGCGGCGACGATGATGGCATTGATGAGCATAATATAGAAATTGTTGATGGTGGTGATGATGATAATGCAACTGTGGATAGTGGTCATGGTGGTACACCGATACATGGTAAACGCGCTAAACAAACGAAAACAGGTAGTGTTAAACATGCAACGGCTATGGTGCATTCAGCATCTGCCTCAGCTATCGTTATGTTGCACAACAACAACAATAAGCATGACATCATTACAGGGGCCAGTAATAGTATAACTAGTTTAAATAGCCTGAATCTCAACGCAAAGGTCGCTGTAGGCGCTGGACAACTGAATGGCGAGCTGAAACAACTCGGTGGCAGCAAGAAGCGGGTTAGAATCCTTAACAATGTCATTACTAAAACGAAAAAAAAAAACAAATCTCAAAAGACACGTTACCATACAATGTGAATTAATAACACGCACAACAACCACAAATGCTCATTTATACACACTTATTTAATTATTTGAAAAAATCACCAACATTTCAACATTTTATCGTCACGAATTTCATTGTTGTGGTTATTTTATGTACTTTACATGCGTCATCTACCAGTATATTTAATCCATATTGCATTGTTTTGGTTTCTAACCACGTCCTACATTTCCCCTAAACACACTTATGCCTTTAAAAATATTTTTTTGTAAATTATTTTTTTTTTTATAAAGTTATTATTTTCTTTGTTTGTGTCTGTTATATGCAAAAATATGCGAATTTATAATTACTTTATGGCGCAGGGACAAAAGGTTTAAAGCATTTATTTTGTGGTGGTTCTAAAAATAAAAACTAACCTCGTGAAATAAAATTATATTATGATCGGCGAACTATTGCATGCGATATTAACAATTAAGTACTGATAAACATAAAAAAAAAATAAGTTTATTATAGCAACTTTTAATAAACAAATAAATTGAAATATTTCTGTGGATTTTTCTACACTTTTGATTAGTTATAAAAGCATTTTATATATGTATATTTTTTTATTATTATTATTTTTTTTTTTTTTTGACAAATTGATGTCAATACTCTCTCAAAGCGGCGCCAACGTGACGACATAAAAACGTTTCACATGTTAAATATTGTATTAACGTTACCTTCATTAAAAAAAAATTTTTTTAATGTCAAAAGTCCGTAATAAATTTGTTTAAAAAATATATACCTTTCATAAAAAACTTAATATATTTTAACGCGCATATAATGCGCTATAGCATATGCATAGCATTTCATTAAATTTATTTTTTAAGCAACTAAGCATGTTATGGTATAAAAAAATATTTTACATAACCAAAAAATTTGGTAAAAAAAAATTGTATTTCAATACTCTCAAAGCGTCGTAAACTGACGTCATATAAAGGCGTCTCATGTTCTATATAGTATTTACTTTTGTCATTTCAAACTTCATTATGCAAAAATGAAAAAAATATATAAAAAAAAATTATTGTGAAAAGTGTGAAAAATCCATAAGAAATTTGATTTAAAAAAAAATTATTTCATTCAAAATCTAAATTTATTTTAACATGCGCAAAATTCGCTTTTTGGTATGCATTGACTTTCCCTAAATTAACTTTTTAAGCAACTATGATTATTATGGGGTAATAAAAAAAGTTTAGATCTAACCTAAAACTATTGCTACCACTTGTATTTGGCATTTAAAAAAACAAAAAAAAATCTTTAAAACTTATTGCTAAAACCATTCACATACACTGATACACACACTACATTTATGATTCCTAACTCGTATAGGTCTAACTATTGTACATAACTTGTTGCTGTTCTCAATGCCACGTAACACGTCGCCGTATCAAAAACAGTAAAGTGATTTCAAAAACACAGTTTGTTTCATTAAATATTGTGCGTTTTTGCCTTAGTTACTCGTAACTAGTCAGCCGTTACTCGTTACATGCATTTAGCGCTGCGCCTGCGCTTTAAGTTGTTTATGAAGTGATCGTTTTCGGCTTTTAAGGTGCATTTATTGTTTCTGTTTTTTATTTTATTCGATATGCATATGATTTTTTTTTTGTTTTGTTTCTTGCTACTCGTTCGTTGTATTTACTTTATTTAGGCTTCGGCTAAAAATACCTGCTACAGTTGAATGAAAAAATTTTTGCTGGAAAACGAAAGTCACTGTAAGACAATTATTTAAATTCAAAATTACAATCGTACATTTATTAATAGTACACATATACTTATATAAATATTTAAAATTGTCCGTGGGTTAAGCTTAATCATTCTTGATAAAGCATACCCAAATTCAGGACTATAAGAAAATCACTATCGGCTAAACATACTATAGCTGTTAAAATTTGACGAATATTAATATAATACAGCCCTTATAAAACTTACTAATTTAACAAATCTCTACAGAACAACATATCTCTACTGCGAAATTATTACTTTTATTCTCAAGTTTCTAAACTTTAATACCTCTATAATGTTATTACCAATAATATTCCAGGTGAATTTAAACTAAAGTGTAGTTATTTCGAAACCCTACACACTCTAATATGCGTTTTTGAAAAGTTGTCAAAGTCGGTGATGCCTTTTTAACTAAAACAGTCCCGATTCTATATTCACACAATTCATTTACTAGTTTCAATGTAAATATTTTAGATTTCAAATATTATCTCTACTAAAGTAAAGAATGAAAGCCGTTCTTCATTTCTATTTTTCGAGCATTTAATCATTTTCAAGTGTCGGTTCATCTAAACCTTTTTGAGGACTCAAAAAAACTGAGTATTTCCAAAGTAAAATTATTCTTAACTCGTTCGGGCGAGGTTCCAATCGAGAAATGTAAAGTATCTGCACTGAAAACACCACAATTTTTTTAAATACCGGTACAAATTTAAAATTATTGGGTTTCGAAGTTTTTTATACATGTAACTCTCGGTGTTGTTGTTTTTTTTTAACTATTTGACTTATCTGTGTCTACTCAAAAGGTCTTCGTTGCTTGTAAATACGGGAATATACTTATAATATGAAGAAATAATTGCAAACCCGATTTTGTACAGTTTCAAAATCTTCAATTATCCGAAATGTCTCCCTTATAATCACAGTTAAATAACTCTGTAAATATGTTGGTACTTATTTCTTATTACATTTTTAAAAATTGTATTGTTATTATTACAATTAACCTCAAAAACGCTGAACTCTCGTTTTCGCTGCAAAAATGTAACTGTAATTACGATTTGTATAGTTTATAAATACCCTTTTGTTTATATTATTTCCAGTTATATGCTTTATATTCCATTCGAACCATTCAAATCTTCCCTTTTTCTCATCACACAACCATTTTTTACCCATAACCTCAAAAAAAAAAAAACGTCTTATCTCCCTTCCTACATACATGTACCGCAGTTATTTTGTCCGTTTTACTGTCCACCACAATTAAATAAAATATAATAAAATTTCTACTACAACACGCTCAGCAGACGCGTTTAGGCATATCTCAATACTATTTTTTTTTACTGTTTAATTTTTGCCTTGGCCAGTTGGAACGTTCGGCCAGCTTAGTGCAGGATCCGGAAAGTGGTATTGTGCGCAAAAATGCAAAGAAGAGTGCCACACATATTACAATGCGCATACTGATGCAGGCCTTCACGATGACTTTCCTAGCCGAATGGGGTGATCGTTCGCAACTCACCACTATTATTTTGGCCGCCAGCAAGGTATGTATATTTTGCTTTTTGTTCACTTGATACATCATAACAATTAATATATCACTTTGCAGAATGTCTACGGCGTTATTACCGGTGGTATTATTGGTCATTCCATCTGCACAGGCTTGGCTGTGATCGGTGGACGCATGGTGGCCGCTAAAATATCTGTACGCACTGTTACCATAATTGGTGGCATTGTATTTGTTGGATTTGCTGTGTACGCTTTGATTGTGAAACCAGACGATATTTAAAGTGCAACTTAAAAGTATAGAAAAAAGGGAAAACCAGACAATGGACGGACGATGTTTAATGGAAAAATAGCAACATAACCAATAATTTACAGTTACTTCATATTTAAAAACTAAAAACCAGAATACACAAAAAAAATTTATATTTTTTACAAAGTGCTCAAAAAAAATTTACAAATTTTTGCTCTTTTTTATACTTAAATATATTTTCTTCTTACACAAATTTCATATTTTCACAACTAAAGTGCCTTCAAAGCTATTTTGCCATTTTGTATATTATTTGTATATTAAAATATGCATTCACAAATGAAAAAAAAAAAAAATACAAAAGCAATAAGCAATCGTGACATTTTCAGTTGTTTTCAATAAAAATTTCAAGTTTTTGTGCATTAGTTAATTTTTTGGCTTCAGTCTAACCACACTTTTTAAAGAAATTCTTGTAAATTAGTTTATGTTGCACTAAATATGACTAAATTTTTGCCAAATTACTTAAAGAACACAGCTTTTTATTTTATGTATATACATGCAAAGCCAAGCAGAGACGAATATTAATGTGGGGTGGCAAGAAAAAAACTTTAAATGCAAATATAGAGCATAATGAAGATTTTTATTATAGCTCATCTGTTTTTTTGTAACGACTGTTGAAAAAACACAGTCGCTGCAAGCTTATTTAAAATGTTTTCAAGCACCTAACCTCAAAATTATTTACGAAAAGCCTTTAGGCTGTTTTTGTAAAATTTAGTTTAAACAAAGAAAATATTTGTATTATTTCGAGTGTATCTACAGTATTTTTCTTGTTGTCCCACATTATACTATACATTATACATTAGGTTCATTGCGCTTAATAAAAATTTGTAAAATAATTTAAATAAAATATTAAATAATTTGTAAATCCGCGCGAGAGGGGACCAATCGACAATGCATGTACAGATTATTGTGCGCAACTGAAGACCAAGTGCGAAAACAAAAAAATCCAACCAAAACGCTAACTTGTTATTTATGTATTATATAAAAAAAAAATCTAATAAATAGAGAAATATATATTAGAAAAAAGAACGAGAAATAGCTGAATAAAGTGCAATCGAAATTTATAAGCAAACAAAAAAAATAATAATAACTTCGTTTATATTTTTATTTATTTTTTATTTTTATAACAGTTGTTTTTTTTTTTCTCGCAACATATAAATTAATCGAAAATCATTTTTCAGATACATATACTATATATAGATATTAAATATTGTGTTTTGTTTTGCATTATTAGTTTAAAAAAAAATTATATTCTTTCGAACTTCGAAATTCGTGCATACATTTTCACTTCTGTGTCATCGGATCGCGATAGATGCCGGTAAATAATATCGCCTTGGCATTGTAATCGTAAATAAGGAAGAGGAATGGATGATTGCATTCGAATTTGGTTGGCTCGAGCGGGCGTGCCGAACGGAAACTGAAGAGCACCGTAGCCGCCGAAGCAGTGCTACCTTCCTCGTCAACATTTATCTTAGCCACATGCTTAGCATCGCCGAAACGCAAGCGGTTGGTGAAGAATTCACCAAGATCACAATCCTCTTCGAAGAGCGAATTAATGCCTATGTCACGAAGTACCTGCGGAGATAGGAATGGAAAATGTTAAATTGCAAGATGAAATCATTGTATATATAGAAATTAAAAGTAGTAGTTCATCTTGTTGTGCGGGTTGGGTGCGTTACTACTACCTGTTGGCTCGTGGGTTCCAATCCCGACTTAAACAAAACTTAAAATTTTACCAATACCTTTTTTTTTTTTTTGAAATAGGCACTGAGGCGGGCAATCAAAAATCTACGAGTACATTTTTGGTATGGAACAGCTTTTCATAGGAACCCTCCGAAAAGAGTTGAAAACTTGTACGATAATTATTAAGTTAGTGAACGTCAGGTCTAGAAAGCTGGCGTGTTTAAAGGTGCGTAAAGAAGCGGTATTTTTCGATGGCTTTGGATTTAATTAATAGAGTGCAAAGTAAGTAGATTTAAAGTTCCTCTGGCTTCTCGAAGGCATCCTGAAAATGTACGAAGTGGGATGCTCTGGAATATTTTTTATGCGGTCCCCAGAATAGCATACCAACCAATAATATGAGGGTGGGGATCGATTTGACCGGCAAAGAGTAGATATTTCAGCAACTTAATTATATATGGACCGATATATTAATTAATACATGCTCTGGGCTCATTAATTTTTATACGACTTTAACGGAAGTACCCATTTAAGACAACCATAAGTTATGTGTGTGACATTAATAGATCATCTTAAAAGCGTCCAATTTCATGTATACGAGTCTGATCTAATTTCATGAAAGTTCTCATAGAATCTGTTAGATGTTCACCGTCATTGTAACTCATGTAGGACTAATAATGTTATACATCTACACATATGTCTATTACAATTTGTAACGAGTTATTGGCACTCGGATTTCTTATATGAACCTTCTATTTACATAACAACCTCGAACGCTAAAGTTTTACCAGTATCGAAAAACAATGGCACAAGCTATCAAGCGCAAGTTAGGTTCACACCACACAAAATATCACTGTCAAAACATCGAATAATGTTTTATACCAATTATAAATTATAGAAACCACTTACCGGCACCAATTCCAAGTTTTGTTCAAAAGCGAATTTCGGCAGCGACACGTCGACCTCGCGAGCCATACCCTCTTTCAGCGCATCGTCCAATGTGTCCGGTGTCAATTTAGCCAAAACGCCATCCAAATTATGGAAGGGTGGCAAAATTATGATCATTGACATATCTGATTCCTTCTCATTGTCATTGGAAGTGACATAGGGCATTTCCAGCACGTAGGCGCCCAAGTTTTCGTCCAACGCTAAATTGTAGGTGCCACGCTTGTGCATCATATCGACAAATGATTGTTTACTCTCTGACGTATAGAAGATATCTTTCTTGGTATCTTTCGGATCGAATTTGTTCGACCACTGTCCCTTGAAGTAGGCGGCATTTGCCAACACCAATTTTGTTTGTGCGTCCACCTCTCCCATCTTCAACATGTCGGTTATTTCATGCTTTGTCACATTACTGATCCAATTGTTGATTTCAACGCGACACTCTTCTGATTTATTTTGGAAATCGAGTTTAGCCAACTCCTGATGGAAAATCTGCTGCACACATTCGGTTGGCTCTTCTTCTTTATCGAAAAATATACGATCGGCTGCGGAAAATTGCAGTGGTGAGTTCTTCGAACGCGAAATGCGACTGCTACGCTCCAAAGTGTAACCCCGCATCACGTGATTCTTATTCTTTGCCCACTCTAATGATAGCGCCTTTGTCAGTTCAACCTCTGTTTGGCCGCGTGAGCCGAAATAGGCCAAGAGTAGTGCATGATATGTGCTGTAGGGGGAAAAGAAGACATTCTCATTGGGTGTGGCCTTATTGATGGCTTGCAGCATAGACAAAGTGAAGTTCTGTTGACCGCGATACAGATCGGAATGTACGGCGCGCGGCACATCATTAAGATTTTGTGTAATTTGGCAGATTTGCTGTGCAAAAACACCGCACGTCAGACAGCTCACGAGCAAAGCTAGAATTTCTATACTTAAACGCGACATTGTGACTTTACTGATGGAGTATCTGCAATGAAATGGCAAATTTTGTTGTAGTGCGTCGAAATATATGTATGCAAAAAAAGCTTAGCTATTATTTAGAATTTCGGGTTTAAATCCTAATTGTGAACAAAGCAAAAAATCGTTTAAAACAATGAGTGACTAGATTTGGATTACTGCGGTATGTTATTTGTCGCACAACGATATGTGAAAAAAACCCACAACAAGTAAATGCTTTCAGCGCAAATGACCTTGCCGTTGAGGCATCGAGCCGCATTTCAAATCGGTGAGACATCACCTTTGGCATGAAACAAAAACGGCCAATTCACTTTGTTACACGCTTGCTGTGGGACTGAGTTCCACTATCCGTATTAGCGTATTTGCATAACTAATATTTATTCAATATCTTTTTCCAATTAATTTCGTCATTTAAGCAAATTATCATGGCGGCGACACGTCAAATCAGCTGACTGCGGCTTGCAAGCTAACAAAACGTGACCCGACTGCTAGGTGGTTGGCCGCTCTTCAACTTGACTCATTTGGCCAAAAATTTCGCAGCTGTGATTCTGTGTAAGCTGTGATCAAGTACGATTTACAAGCAAAAAAAATGCACAGGGGCGTATCACGACTACCAATCGTGCTATTTGGTGGAGAATTATTAGAAACTCTTAGAAATCATTCGTAAAGCAAAAATTCTCATATATAAGCTAAATCTTATTAGGGACGAAAGACGTGTACAAAATTTCAGATCTCCAAAACGAGGGACTGGTTCGCGTATATACAGACAGACCGTTCCGTTTACATAGACCGATTCAACTTGTTTCCTAAGTTTATTTTAGATATGAAAATTTTCTGTTTATAAATTTAGATTTGTGAGATGGATCTCCCGCAGTATTCGGCAATTTCTGGCCAAATTTAAATCAGAAGAACATTAAAGTATTCATATCTCAGTAAAGGTAAATTGAAAAAATTAATTATATAGAACTTTATTGACGAAACAAAAGCCCAAATGTCCTATGAAAGATAAGATAAGGCTCATATATACTTGTAATAACCCTACTATTTACGGCCAACCATGAAAGTTCGACTTCATACTTGCTGACCGGATTTAATAGTCTTGATATATTCTTAAATTAAATTAAAATTATTTTCTTAAAATTAGGGTGGTTGTGAGCGCGTCGTCAGTGCTTGAAATAGATAACTCTATATCTACAAAAAAAAAAAAAACAACAAGCTTGATCGAGACAAGTATTTCTAGTATTGGAGAACGTCCGTCTATCGATAGAAATCTAAAAAATCGCTTCAACTAAAAGCAACATTTGTATTACAAATTGTTATCGCGGATTTTAAGGATATTGGAAATGAGAAAAATTGGTCTAAAATAAGCTACTAATTTACGTCACTCATAACACTTTGCTGGGCAAATTATGACACGTAATACTTTTTTTGCCTAAAATTCGTGACACCTCGCGGCCATGTGTCAAATCCGTACCTGTACGCATACAAAACTAACACTTATATTCGCTTAAGCGTTTTGTATGTATGTAGATAAATGTGTAAAAGAAAACAAGAAATAAATATAAAAAAATTTCAGTGTGACCACCTGGTGAACACGCACCCACAATCCAATTAGCAAGTGGGTTTTCATATTTTGTAAATTGCGCCGAAAGTAAAACAAAAAAAAATAGTTTTTATTATTATTATTAGTTTTTTTGCAATAACAGCATTTTGTCAACCTTGTCTTTCAGTAAATCTCCCATAATCGTTTAATATCTTTACGTGCAAGGAGAAATAGTTGAGACATCGTAAAACCTTCAAATTGATTGTACTTTGGTGGGCTTAATTTGTCAGTATAATTGCAAAATTGATTTATTGGACTTATAATTTAATCATAAGTTTAATCTTTCGGATTCGATAATTTCCGATCGAGTACTCTGGGCAATGCATTCAGCTTTTATGCGCGATGCAGTAATTTGATTAAATGAAAATACTGCTTTAGTAAATCTGAACCGTTAGATTCATTTTAAGAATATACCTAATTTTGGAATCTACGACATCTATCTGCCAAAAAAATGCGGCTGCTAGTAAATAAAACAGATAGAAAGTTCTCGTTAAAAAAGTCAAACATCTCCTATACTTTCAGCCGCAGCCTAGATGTAGTCAAGTAATCGAATCTGGCAATACCAAAGTACAAAGTAGTAAGAAAATCAACTTTCACAACTGATATCTTATTCCCGATGTTCAGTTCTGTTTTATGAGTGCAATGGCTGTAAAGGGACGAAGACTATAAGTATAGGGGAAGTACTTATTTTTCTGCCACTTTAGTTGCTGCTTGCCCTTTTTCCCAAAGCTCTCTGTGTAGCGATTACGAAGTTAACTCAATTACTTTCTTAAGTCTATTTCTTTGTTGCTTCTTATTTGTATTTTTAATCGGTCCAATCGTACTTTTAGTTTGAGAATTATGATGATACCCTTTGCCGTCTCAGACATCTTACGCGCCTTTATTTTTCGATCGTTTCTAATATATTCTCCTTTTATAGAGGATCTCTGAGAAGGTATGTAGTCTCTGGTTGTCTCTTTTAACGACATAAAAACTAGCTTGCGTGATCTTTGAACTGGTTATCCTCTACTCAAATAAACCGCTGTAGTTATCGTCCCGTCACTCGACCAAGACGCGGTAGGAACAGCTCTAAAGTGGCTTAAGAACAACAAAGCCGGATTTTCACAATATGTCAAATCCTGAAGAAGACCTTCGACAAACAAATCGAACCTGATCAAATTTTCGTCGATTTCAAAGCCGCTTTCGACAGCCACGAAAGAAGCTGCATATTCCACGTCATCCCTTAATTTAATATGCCTGCGAAACTCATAGAATGGCGTTGAGCACAACCATCAGCTCCGTCAAAATAGGGATGGACCTCTCCGAACCGGTTGATACCAGACTAGGTTTTGGATAGGGTGAAAAAGTGTGCGCCTCACTAATCTGAACCGCAATGGCCCTGCACTCTAAAAGTACAATACTACTGGGATACGCAGATGATATTAACATCGTAGGTCTTAAAAGAGCGAAACGAATGCAAGGCACAACACCTAAAAGCCGCACACAAAGATTCCTCGCATCTTGGGCACTATGTTGGCAACTATAATTATTTGAAAAAGTGAAGGAACATGTCTTTAGCGAAACCTTAGATTCGATACACTTGCGTGGACTACGAAAGCTAGGGAGCCCACGCATCTAATTGAAAGATCAAGTGGATAACAACCTGTCTGCACTTGGAATTTACAACTGGTGAGAGCTCGCAAAAGATAGAGGCAATTGGCAAACTTTTGCGTTCTTGGCCCACGGTTATACTACCAAAGAAGAACCAGAATCCGAAAATTATATAAGTCAATGCAGTGCGAGAAAAAAAGCGTCGACAAACATTATAGCGTTAATTTTTATATCTCATTTTCTAAATGAGTCGCTGTGACTAATTCTGATAACTGTTATTATACAATTATAGAAATTAGTGATTCATTCGAAAGAGACTGGAATAAATTTTGCAATATACTTGTATATGATACTTAGTACAGATGTACTTGTATCTACGCAAAACGTTTACGAATCCACTTTAGATCAACAACGTACCGACAATAAAGTGTTGCATTTACAATAATTATTGCAAATAAAACAACAACAATAAAAAGTGAAAGTTTCGCAACGCCAATATGTTGCTGTAAAAATATAAACAATCACATATGACTTTAGTAAGTGAAGTATTTCTCGTGCGAAAATCATAAAAAAGTATTTCCACTAACTCTGCAAGCAAAAAAGCTCAGATTTGGGAAAAATTGCGAAAAATAAGGGCTTTTCTTAAAGCTTACGTCATTGGACTGGAGTTCCCGGGTGGTGTATCACAGTTTTCTTATAAGATCTCGACAATACGTCATAAGAAAAAATGTATAAATCACGTATAGCTATTTAAATAAATACAGCTGACATTTGTTTATGAGTTCGTGAGTAAAAAACTGTGAAAATACTCGTTAACTGGTTCACAATAAAAAGTTAGTGACGGGTTGAGACTGCTTGGACAAACAATGATTCACGAGTTGCGTATGCTTACTACATATACTTATGCAGATGTACTGGTATATTATATACTTGTACATAAGTATTTTATACACTCTCCGTATAATCTTCAGCGGTGTACAAAGAGCATTGGTCTTCAACGATGGCGTTAAGCAAATCTTGTGCAACATCAGGCAACACAAATACCTTTATTTATACATATATAATATTATATGATAATATGTATGTGTGAAAGCCTATAGCAGCATAAGGAAAACAACAATCTGTAGCTGTGATTAAGCGTCCGAAGTAGTTTCATCATGCGAGTACATTTCATAATGAGTTGGACTAATTGGAAAGCCAAAGAAAGTCAAAGAAAAGTTGTTTTGGTATTTTTGCATTTTTGTTGTATCGAAAACGAGTCCAAATAAATAAGTTTCCAAGCAATTGCAGCAACACTCGAAAATAATTTGCAAGAAAAAATATTGATGACCAAATTGTAGCTCCATCAAGAAATTTTGGAAACGCCCCCAGAGCCAAACGCTCTTCAGTCATTCGAAGACAAGTTGTCACTGTGTGGATAACCTGATTATTAATGGTGCTAGCTTAGTGTGGCTTTTACGTTTTCTATCTGTCGTTAGTTGTAAAGTAGCCTAATAGATGGATGGTAATTATCTATTAATTGACTATGCATTTGCAGAGCTTGAGCGACTTGTTCTGAATAGACTTAGCTTAGAAGAGTGATTTCGCAAACCTTAGCAGCTATAGTAGAGTTATTCTTACATTTTTCGACCTTCGACACTTAGCTGCATGCCAATTGAAAATTAAATCAACTGTTTATACCCTGTATCGTAAATTAGTTAATTTGTATATGAATTATTTAACTAAGCGCACTTAATGAAGCAGATAGTCATTCAAATGTGGTTACACTTGGGGAAATACCTCGCTATTTAAGAACTTCGTAATTGGTTCTGAACGTT